GGCGTCGTTGTTGACATTGAGAAAGGGTGCTTCGTGGTTGCTTGTCACCTTGAGTGTCTCTCTGATTATAACACCATCGTGCAAGTATATAGGTACTTCCTTCTGCTCTAAAGAAGCTTCTTCCCCTTTTATTTTGTTCAGTTTTAAAAATTATATTAAAGGTGATATCTGTTGTATTTTCTGTGTGATTATAGGTACTTAAGTGAATACAAGTGGAAACCAGAAGATAAATCTGCCCCAAAGATTTGGATTCCAGAAGGTGAAATCTGGGTGAATCCTGAAGAATGTATCATATATGATCAGGATAAACTTTTTGATTCAAAATATTATGTTTTGCGAGATATCTATGAAAAGAATATTCTTCCTTTTTTCTCATTTGCCATGGAAGTGAGGAACAAGCCTTCAATTGATGATTATGTTGACCTATGGAATGATTGGGAGAATTCATTGGAACAACTGTCATACGACGAGTGCTCTAAGTTCTGGATGTTTATGCTGAAACACGCAAGCTCAAGTGTGGAGAAGAAACTCTCTGATAAGTTGATAAAATTGCCTGCAACATCAGGCAACAATGAAATATTTTTGTTAGATAAGGAGGATGTTTTTATTCCTGATAACCTTTATCTGAAGAGGCTTTTTGAGAATGAAAACGTTTTTGTCTGGTTTCCTCAGAACTTGGCACCACTGTCCAGGTGTAAATTGTTTGACATCTATAGAAAAATTGGTGCTCAAAATATCTCTGAATCTTTGTCTAAGGAAGAGTCATCCTTACTGAATGGCGATGAATATAATCAGGTTGATGCTTGTAATATTTTCAACATGAAGTGGTTAGTCAAGCTTATTCTTGGTTTTCTTGCTTGTTCTAGCCTCAAAATGGAACCAGATGAGAGGCACAATGCTGTTCAAGGCCTACTCAACCTTAGCTTCTTTGAGACAATGAAGCCAGTCACTGTAAGCTATAGTTTATCACTGTCATCAGGTGACATCATTATTAAGAAGGCAAACAGAATGGTGCGGTGGGAAAGCGAAAGTTCCAAGTTTTTAACTCAGAAGATGAATGGGCATCTTGGAAATGGGAGTTTGATAAAATATGCTACCTATTTCTCTGAAGCAATATCAGAGGGTGTTTTGCGCGAGAATCATGATCATGTTCCTGCACTATCTGAGCTGATCAAGTTGGCTTTTCTGCTGAAATTCAACAATGAGGCAATTGAATTTCTTATGGAGTCCAAGAACTTGCAGATTTTTGGTGCAGATGATGAGTTCCTTACTTCTGGCTTCCCATCTGACCAAGTCTACTGCATTGATGTTTAAAATGTTTAAACCAAGTCTTCTGCTTATGTCTATTTATAAATCCTGTTTCAAAGTTTGCTTGTTCCCTTGTGTGGTGTGTGATTAGTTAATGACAAAGAAAAATGTTGTATTGGCTATTAAGACTTGAATTATTAGTTGCTTAGTTTCATGGTCAATGCTTTGGTTTCGTTGTCTGTATGAATATTTCCTATGTTTATAATCTCTTTAATTTTGTTTGATGAAACATCGTACCTGGCTACATTGTGGTCTTGAAAGTCTCATATTAGTGTGTCCTTACTGCATATATATTATTTTTCATATTTATTTTAACTTGAAAATCATGCTAAAAGCATACCCCCAAGTAAAATTTAGTTATCTTTTGAAACAGATTGTTTCCATGACTCTGCAAACAGTAACTTCAACAAAAATGAATTATGTGCATTGTATATAAATCAAACGTTTATGTCCGATTCAACTTATTTATAGAGAAAAACATGATTTTTGTTTTGCAATTACAAAAAGATTATTTTAGAAAATAATTATTTTCCCAAAAAATAAAGTCTCCCAATCATTTGCTAAATTCACAAATCAAATGTTTATGTCCGATTCATCTTATTTATAGAGAAAAACATGATTTTTGTTTTGCAATCTCATATTTTGGCTGAGAGAAGGTTCGGAGAATGCTATCTCTAGGAGAGCGCAGCTAAGAAGTATGGAGATTCTGTTGGAACTGATAGTTTTTAGTGTAGGTGATAAATAAGATACTTGAAATGTGTCATAGTTGAAATAGTTGAAAAATGATAGAAATAGAAGATTTACAATGTTCTATAACTTTTTTTAGAAATATCTACAAACTAGAAGATAGAAATAGTTTTTCCTAGATTGTTCCATATAATTTTCTACACTATTATAGGAATTTGTCATTTTTTAATACTCCTTGATTAAAATTTATGTAACTCCAAGTATCGTGCTTAGCTGTTCAAATTTTGCAACTTGATCTTCAGTTGTGCAGTACTTGAGCTTGATTTTTTTAGTTTCTTCTACTTTCCTGATAAAGTGGTATTTGATTGCTGTGTTTTGTTCTGCTATGATGTACTGGATTCTTTATCATTGCTATAGCTGATTTGTTGTCGCAGTAGATTGTAGTAGGCTCATTTTTTTTCTCCCATTTCGTTAAGTATTTTTCGTAATCATACTGCCTTGACTTGTAGTTTTAGCAACTACCACATATTCTTCTTTTGCTGTTGATTGTGCAACTATTGCTTGCTTCTTTGAAGCCCATGAGATTATTCTTGATCCTAGTGAAAAGGTGATAGATGATTGCCTAGTTACTATCAAAACAATTAAGTTTTCTAAATATTTTGAAGTATAGAGTCAAACTTAGGTCGATTCATGGTGACACATTCTCAGTCAAATTCAATTTTAGATTTTCTTTTAAAAAATGCAAATAAGGTTTTTGGAGTTTTGAAAATTGTAATTAATCAACTTAAATTACGAACAAAATTAAAGGGAGTAAAAAAATGAATTAAGAAATATCAATCCATAGAATACCAATTGCATGTAACTCCGACTATCACAGTATCTAAAGATTTAAATTCACATTTGAACAATTACCCAATTCAATTATTAATTCAATCGAATAACCTAATTGAATAGAGTTACAAATTAAATCAAATAATCATTTAACCTAATTTGCATTAATTATCAAATTAGAGCAACAATCGAGTCCTAATATGAAATCTAACAACAGAAAAGTCAATCACGATCGTAATAAACAATTCTGATAATAGAGAGAAAAAGAGAACAAACTCAAAGTAATTAGCACAGAACTCAAGTCAGAATTACAATGTTTGAATTCTGTTGATTGAATGAGAGGTTTAGCCTTCCATCGAAACGCTTACCCCATGCAAGAATGAGAAAAGAACAAGAGAGTTTGAGAGAAAGTAAAAACAAATATTATTATTTCGACTAAGTCTCAAAATCTTAAAGTGTCTAATCATCTCTCCCTTAATTCAGAACCTTATTAGTCTATTTATAGGTTCTGATTAGGGTAAATTAAGTTGCCAAAATGCAGTTCTCAATAATATCTAAAAGCCTAAATACAATTATTAAATAATAATGGTCCAAATGCAATCCTGGAACAATATTTAACAAATCTGCCTCAATTTCAAACAAGCATAAAAAATCGAAAACAAATCCAAATCTAGCAATCCATATATGAATTTTGAATCCTTGGATGTGTAGAATCCAATGCATCTAGAATCAGCTAAAAATGATATATATAGAAAAAGTTATGGCCGAAAGAGTAGTCAAAAGTCAGAATAACTAAAAATTCAAAATTAAAGCATTTATTTGTAATAGGCCTAATTTATTCAAATAAGTAGAAAATGGTAAAAACTATAAAAATAAAGCATATGAAAAGTGTTTATTAATCAAAATAAAACATTAAATGTAAACATAAAATATGTTACATCAATGTTCTGCTTTCACATTCTGGCACGTTAAACACTTTGCAACATACTCAGTTATCGTCGCTTTTTTCATGTCATACCACCAAAAATTTCTTCGTAAATTGTGATACATTTTCATTGTTCCAGGATTGGAAACTCAACTTACTCTTATGCGCCTCTTGCAATATCATTTGTCTCATTTCTTTATTTTGAGGAATGCACACTCTATCTCTAAATCTAATAAGTCCACTTAAGGTGCGATGAAACTCTGAGCCCTTACTCTCATCCTTTGGCTACACCATATCTTGTAGATATTGGTCTTCCAATTGAGTGTTCTGAACTTGCAGTAAGAAATCATTATTAACTTTCAAGGTACCCATATACAAGCTTTTAGGTTGCACTTCTACCATCAAAGTTAAGTCTCTAAATTCTTCAATCAATTACACTCTTTTATCATCATGGCAAAAATGTGTAAGGATTTCCTGCTCAGTGCATCTGCTACAACATTCGCCTTCCCGGGATGATAAGATAACATGAAGTCATAATTCTTGAGAAACTCTATCCATCGTCTCTGCCTCATATTTAACTATTTCTGATCAAATAGATATTTCAGACTCTTGTGATCACTGAATACTTTGAATCTTGATCCGAATAAGTAATGCCTCTAGACTTTCAATACAAATACTACTACTGCTAGCTCCAAATCATGTGTGGAGTAATTGACTTTATGAGGTCGAAGTTGTCTTGAAGCATAAGCAGCTACTTTCCCAGATTGCATTAGAACACTTCCTAATCCTTGTCTTGAAGCATCACAATATACTTGAAACTTTTGCTCTGGGTCTTGTAATATAAACACTAGTGCCAATGTTAGCTTCACATTCTTCATTCCACTCGAAGTTTTTTCCTTTCCTCGTCAATTTCGTTAAAAGCAGCGCTATTTTAGAAAATTCCTAAATGAATTTTATATAATACCCAGCCAGTCCAAGGAAACTTCTAATTTCAGTTGGAGTTGTAGGTCTCATCCATTGAACTATTGCTTCTACTTTTGTTGGGTCGACCATAATTCCTTTCTTTGACACAACATGTCCCAAAAACTGTATCTACGGAAGCCATAATTCAAACATTGACAATTTCGCATATAGCTGTCTTTCGCTCAGTATTCGCAAGATGATTCTTAAGTGCTCAGTATGCTCCTCATGACTCTTGGAATATATTAGAATATCATCAATAAACACTACTACAAATTGATCAAAGAATTCATGAAATATCTGGTGCATTGATCATACCAGATGGCATTACCAAATATTCGTAATGACCGTAGCGGGTCCTAAAAGCTGTCTTGGGAATATCTTCCTTCTTCACTCGGATCTGATGATAGCTTGATCGCAAATCGATCTTTGAAAACACTGAGACTCCTCGTAACTGATCCATCAGATCATCGATTCTAGGAATAAGGTACTTATTCTTAATTGTCACTTTATTCAACTGATGATAATCAACGCATATTCTCATACTCCCATTCTTCTTTTTCACCAAAAGCACTAGAGCTCCCCATGGCAATACACTTGGCCTTACAAATTGCTTTTGTAATAAATCTTCCACTTGCTTTTTCACCTCAGCTAACTCCACTAGTGACATTCGGTATGGTGCGATCGATATTGGGTTTGCTCCTGGAATCAAATCGATAGTAAATTCGATTTCTCTTTTTGGTGGCAATTCTATTACATCCTTTGGAAAAACTTCCAGAAAATATTGTACTAATGGAATATACTCAGCTTTCATGATCTTATCAATTTCAACAAAAAACAATACCATAAAAGCCTTAGTTTCAACTATATTTCTCGTTTCACCCATATATAGAAGTCTAGAGTTTCTTGGTGTATTATCACCAAAGATTAAAGCTTTCTCCTTACAATCTAATAGAAGACAATTGGACGACAACCAATCCATGCCCAAAATAACATCTAGTAGAGAAAGAGGTAAACAGATTAAGTCCACACAGAAATTCCTACCATGAATCATTATAGAACAGGCTAAGCATACAGAAGAAGTTACAACAGACTTAGCTGTAGGAGTGGACACAATAACATTACACAGTAGGGAAGATATTGGCAATCCAATACAATTTACACAATCCATAGAAACAAAGGAATGTGTAGCACCAGAATCAAATAATACATCACATAGTCTATCATTAATGATGCATTTACCTCTAATCAACTCATCAGATTTGGATGCTTGAGACCTACTCACAGCAAAAACTTTTCCCTGCACACTCGGCTTCACTTTACTACTTGCTCTAGATGCAGGTTGGTTGCTTCCACTTGCACTCCCACTCTATTGAGGAGTTGACCAATAGTTAATGTAACACCCTCATTTTGTAATTTATTATTATTGCAATTAATGTTAGTTGTTTGTGCATGTTATTTAAATTAGAAGTGTTTAATTGATGTGAAATGTAGGATATCTCGCTATAGCGAGAACGAGGCAGCGAAAATGGAACCTTTTGAAGCCCTTTCGCTGTAGCTAGAATCTTTTGCTGTAGCGAGGAGCTCTCGCTGTAGCTAGAATGACAGACAACAAAGGAAGAAAACTTCTGGTTTTTTCGCTATAACGAGAAAGTTGCGAGTTTGAGAGATATTTAAAGAACTCTCACCCTAAAATCTTCATTTTTACCAAATCACATATCCCTTTCCATCCTCTTTATTCTATCCCTCTCTCTGCACCAATAAACATTCCACACACACGTGCGCTCACTACACATAGCCACGCTCACTATGGCAATGTGATCATAGTTTCACACCATGGATGGTCACCAGATAGCTCCCGCCTCACGGATACAATGTGTGCGGTCACGAGCCCCTCCGCAAAGGTGTTAGTCAGAGGCCGAGTCAGGAAAAGAGTGTGTGACCTGAGGTGCACCCACACTCACTGTTAGTGTCATCACCACCTTCTATTTTCCAAGGTATTTATACTGCCCCCATCTTTCACACCCAGTGTATCGCTGAACCATTCATAGTTTGCAACATATTCAAACACAATCGCATCCAACATGCCATTCACACACATTTTCACCTATTTCATAACATCCAATATCACTCAATGGCATGTCACCTCAACCATATTCTCAATCAAGGGCATGTCCACCCATGTTCAACCACATTATATCCAACCACACAATTTTTATTCTAATTTCATCACAATTGAGTCATTTCATCATATATCATTCACAACATCAATCACATTTACATTCCACACAAGATTTCCATCATAGGCCCATTACAATCAAATCATTTCATCAAACACGCATCATCCTACATTCTCTGCCAATTATATTCCAATACATAACAAACATAAACACATTTTAGGTGCAAAGAGATAGGGTAGAGTCCACCTTTATCTCGAAATGAAGACCCACACACAGAATCAATCAAGAAAGTGCTCCTTAAATGAATTTTGTCCTAAATACATGGAAGAAGCCCATGAGGACTAAGGAAAATCGAGAAGATAGAGGATGGGATGAGAAACCAAAACCCTAACCATTAAAACCAAACTTGCTTTCAACCTTCGATCTTACTCCCAAATGGCTTTGAAGGCAATTTAATCGGTGAAATAGGGTTTGAGATTGAGAGAATTGTAGAAGAAGGGAAGGAAGATGCAAAATAACCTATTCCTTCGAACCCTAACCCTTCAAATACCTCTCTACTAATACTCACAACACTTAAAACAACCAAACTAGTCCTATACCCTAGGCATGTTAGGACAAACTGCTCTGATACCAAATTTTAACAACCTCATTTTCTTCATTCAAAGTAAATAATTTTGTTTATAACGACATAAAATAATGATTTCTGTTCTTATTCATAGATTTACGAATAAAATAAAGACAAAGTTTACATTTACTTCAAATGAAAGTTTCATAAATTTTTTTAGAAGGATTTAAAACTTTCAAAGCAATAATATAAAACTTAGCCTTTCCTCTAACAAATTTATTTGATTCACATTGACTACATATAAATTTAGATTTTCCACTAAGGATATTTCCAAAATATTCATTACAATGAAATTGGCCCAAATATTATAAATTCTAAAATCTTCCATTAAAAATCATTTACAAAATTTGGTCAGCACAAAATACAATTAGATAAAGTAACACAATTTTTTCAAATTATCTCAGTCCCTACAGAGCAATCTTCCTTCCAACACCCTTGGATTATGATGTGTTAATGGATGACCTCCCTTAGTAAAGCAATGTATAGAGTAGGAGTTGTCTTGTCGCTTCAAGAGATGAAGGATGTGTAGTTTCGTCATTATGCCATGTATTGATGTTATTAGGATCTTATCATTTTGGTGTAACCCTAAATTTTGTATATGGTTCATCATGGCACAAGAACCTTTGTTTTCTCTGTAACTTGTGACCTTGTACTACTGTTGTAACCACCTCTATCAATGAATCAATCATTGTTTAAACTCATGATTGACTGATCTATAACCCTTTGAAGGAAATTCTTGCAACTAATTTGAATTGTCTGTCTTTGTCATTCCATTATAAGCGGCAAGACAACTTCTACTCTATACATTACTTTACTAAGGGAGGTCATCCATCAACACATCATTTTCCTAAACTTAGGGAATCATTGCCTCTTGGATGTTGGCTTGTTACTTCCACTCGAACATTCTTTCACTTGTGGTACAAACTTTCATTGAATGTCCCATCTTTCCACAGTGGTCACATGTTGCAGGTAATCGCGTACAATTCTTCACCCTATGTGTTCCTCTGCACCGAAAACACTTTACTAGGTTCAAAGAGTTCTTGGAGTTATTGTTGTTGCTACTATAGGGTGTCATTCTCTTTGTTTGTGACTGAGTTGTATTTGAGTATGACTCTCTCTCTAAAATCTTGCAGGCTTCTTTTCTTGTTCTAATGTTCTTGTAATTCTATCATTTACTAGCTGCCCTTTCAAATTGTCTTCCAAACTAATACACTTGCTCATCAATGTTGGTAGGTTCGTCAGTTGAAAAATAGTAACTATAGTGCGAAGATCACTCCTCAGTCCATTCTCAAACTTATACACTTGCTCATCAGGCTTCTTTTCTTGTTCTAATGTTCTTGTAATTCTATCATTTACTAGCTGCCCTTTCAAATTGTCTTCCAAACTTATACACTTGCTCATTAATGTTGGTAGGTTCGTCAGTTGAAAAATAGTAACTATAGTGCGAAGATCACTCCTCAGTTCATTCTCAAATCGGGTACACCAGTCTCTCTTATTATCCTCTTGTTGGAAATAAGACCAGTATTTCATCAACTCATAAAATTTTATAGCATATTCTTTTACCAATATCTCTCCTTGCTTTAATTTAAGGAATTCCCTTTTCTCTTGTCTTGAATGTCTCCCAAGAAGTAACCCCACCTTCCTGTGGCAAAATACAACTCATGATCCTCCACCAATCCTCTGCTTTTCCAATTAGCATAAACGTGGCACAATCAACGTTATGCTCTTCTCGACAGTCTATTGCATTGAAGATTCGTTCTATGTCTGTAATCCATCTCCAAGCTCCTTCTGGGTCAAACTCTTCTTCGAATTTTGGAGGATGATGCTCCATGAACGAAGGCAATCCATGACCTTTGGCTACTTCTGTATCCTACTCGCGCACTAAGGGCTCTTACACTTGATCCATACTCGTTGAAATTGTAACAGTTCCTTCCACTAGTTTATCTCTATTGGCCATTTCCTAATCTAGACAAACACATCACACATATGTGATTATTCACATTTTGTACTTGCATTTATAGCCTTATTGCATCTTCCAAAATATCTTTCCTTCTTTATTTATTTCATTTAGCATGTTTTTGCAATTCTTGCATTAAATTGGAGTTTTCATGAATACTTGTTATCTTTACTTTATATTTCATATTTTTGCTATTTTGACCTTGTCCACTATTTCGGCCATAGCTTTTTCTATAGATCTTCTTTTTGGCTGATTATTTTTGCAATGGATTCCTGATTTTTGGGCTTCAATTTGGACATATGGATCGTGCTATTTGGAATTTGAAGCTATTTTATATTAATTTTTGAAGTTCAGACCTAAAACATACCTTTTATATTTGGAGTTTTTATTTAGGACTTTTATTTCAATTACTTGCGGCAGCCTTGGCCCACTTGTTTCTATTTTCATTTAAGACTAGTATATATAGAGGTCAAAAGGTTGATTTGACCTCTCCTCCTTTCTCTTTCATAATTTTGTTTTCATAATTTCATTTTTGGGTAAAGACTTTTTCTCGTTTTTGAGAGAGAACCCTTTTTTGTTTCATTCACTTGCCTTTCCAGATTCTGCCCAATTCAATTTTCTGCTTTCGTTATTCTTTTCATCGCGAATCATCTCATCTCAAGTGTAGATTGCAAGCTTGATTGATCGCTCCGAGTTTGTCTTTTTAATTTCTCGCAATTCTTGATTGAGATTTGTGCGTGCATAATTCGATTGAATTTGGTTTCTATTCTTGAATATAATATTGATCGATTAATTTCTTTTGCATTTGAGTTTTAGACAAATTCGGAATAGTAATCCTAATTTGCATTTGTGATTCATGGATTTAATTCGCTTCCATTTTTCATTTTTGTTTTTATTTTCTGTTTTTGTTTTCGTTTTCATTTTCGTTTCATTTTTCATAAATTTGTTTTTCTTAATTCGTTTTTGTTTTAATTGATTTCATTTTTAGTTTTTAGATCAATTTTCAATTTTTAAATTCATTTTCAGTTTTGATCTGTTTTCATTTAAATTCCTTTAAATTGCTTTCATTTTAAATTCATCTTTAAATCATAAAACCTACAAATTAACCTTCATTGCTTGTTTAAAATTGAAAATAGAATGAATTTGTGTCCGTGTGAGATAACCTAGGTTTGCTCTCTATATTGCAAAATTAATTAAAAATCTAGTTTTATTTGACACCATTATGACGTGGTTGTTAGTATGTTAGCAAACCCATTGTCCGCATACGTATACGCATACTCATTCAACAACGCAATCACATAAGTCCTTATTTGGGGTACTAAACAATTCATACTAATAAACAACTCTCTTATGTTTTAGTTCTCCTAGAATACTAATACTCAACACTTAAAACAACCGAACTAGTCCCATACCCTAGACTTATTAGGATGAACTACTCTAATAGCAAATTGTAACATCCTCATTTTCTTCATTCAAAGTAAATAATTTTTTTATAACGAAATAAAAAAAATGATTTATGTTCTTATTCATGGATTTAAGAATAAAATAAAGACAAAATTTACATTTCCTTCGTATGAAAGTTTCATAAATTTTCAAAAGGATTTAAAACTTCCAAAGCAATAATTTTGAAGTTTTAAGGTAATAAATAAAACTTAGCCTTTCCTCTAGTAAATTCATTGATAAATGTAGATTTTCCACTAAGAACACTTCCAAAATATTCGTTACAATGAAATTGGCCCAAATATTATAAATTTTAAAATCTGCCATTGAAAATTATTTACAAAATTTGGTCAACACAAAATACAATTAGATAAAGTAACACAAATTTCTCAAATTATCTCAGTCCCTATAGAGCAGTCTTCCTTCCAACACCCTTGGATTATGATCCTAGGACAGGGCAAACATCTTTATCCCTTTACTTTCATCACTTGAAAATATTAGTAAGGGTGATTATCTCCTGTTCCACTAAATCTCTTGTTTAACATAAGCAAAATAATCATATATTTATGCATATATAATACTAAAAATATTTTCTATCAGGGACTGAATTAACAATGATATCCAAATCATACAACTTACTATCACAACAGAGTATACACAAGACAATAATCAATCATGTTTGCAAGCTTTCATAACATGCATCTTTCTACTGATCTATATGTCGTAATACATGTATTATCCCACGTCGATCAATATGTCACAATACATGTGTCCTAATCACACTCGTCGATGTATTACAAAACATATATCATAACAACATCAACCGATATAGTACAACGCATATATTACAATTGTACAACTTCTATACCACTTCATATACATCACACTTTTACATTCATTTTACTTTCATATTCAATGCCCCTGGGATCCTTTCAAGACTTTATAGCTTAGGTAGCCTAAGGTTTGGCATAGTCACTTACTAACAACATGCTCACTATTCCAAAAACATCAAATCAGTAATCTTAACCATTCTTAAAGAATGTTTGTTTAGTAAAGTCATAATATTTCTACAAGATAGTTTTATTCATGGCCTTTACTACAAGTTACATTTAAATAGTTATGAGAGTAAGCAAGGGTTTTCCATTTTAAACTACCTAAGAGAGGTTAAGGTTTGGGATCAACTCCCACTTACCTTGGAATGGAGACCCACCATGAAATCAATGGTAGAAGTGCTTCCTACATGGGTTCTTGCCTTAAATACATGGAATAATGCATGAAAAATCAATAAGAATGAAGAAAGAGTAAAAAATGGAAACCCTAACTCACAATACTTACCTCCAAACGTTTCCACCACAATTCCAACCTTCAATCTAGGGCACACAAACGGTTGCAGTGGCAATTTAATAGGTGAAAAAGGCTAGGGATTGAGAAAATTGAATTAGGGAACGAAGGGAAAGTAATAAATATGATTTCCCCAACCCTAAACTCCTTAAATACACAAAGTGTCGTGACATTCTCGCTATAGCGAGGCATCTCTTGTTGTAGCAAGACCCCTTCTCGCTACAGCGAAAACACCAAACAAATTTGCAAACTGGTTTCTGCATATTCTCGCCACAGTGAGACTACACCCAGAAAGCACCCTCTCTCTATTGCCTTATCGCTACAGTGAGAGGTCTCTCGCTTTAGCAAGAACGCAATAGATGCACGCGTCTTGCCCAGGACCTTCTTGCTACTACGAGAACGCCCCCACAGTTCACCCTTACTCTATATTTTCCAATCAACTCCACCAATCCAAGTTAACACTCACCTATATTTATTTACATACATATTTACATATACATATACCAATATCCACATAACCACAAAATTCAATACGTACTTCCAATTAACAACATACATACTTATATTAACAATCCAAATATTATTACTAAATTTGTGGTGTTACAGGTGTAATGGCCCGGCAACTTCTTCGAGACTGATGACTGTCCCCACAAACCAACACAAGACTTTTCAGCATGCTTTGTCATCACTCACATACTTCTCGAAAACTTTTCAAAAGGTCACCCATCCCATAATTTCTCCAAGTTAAGCACACTTAACTTTGGAGTTCTTAGGTGATAAGCCACCAAAATGTAAATGCATTTTGTTGGTATAGGTAGTCCTAATCAATTCCTTTAAGTTATCCTCCACATTATACACAGTCTCTGGATCCCTCCCATTGCGGTGTAAGTTCGATTCATTCATGTGCCCCTTACTGCCAAAAGCCTACAAGGAGCCGCTCTTTGTCTGTGCCATACATTACACTGATGATCACTCCTTGCCCTTATTGGAAGCCTCCTAGGAGCCGCTCATTGTTTGTGCTATAATGCGGCGATCACTCCCACCCTCACCTAAGGTCTGTATGTCACTTACCCACCAGCTTCCACTTAGTTCGTTCTCGAACCACATCGTACTAGGAGAAAGGCCTGCTCTAATACCATTATTGTAACAGCTCGGCAACTTCTTCGAGACTGACGACTGTACTCACAAACCAACACAAAACTTTTCAGTATGCTTTATCCTCACTCAACATTTCTCAGAAATTTCCCAAAAGGTCACCTATCCCATAATTTGCCAAAGTTAAGCACTTAACTTTGGATTTCTTAAGTGATAAGCCACCAAAAAGTCAATGCATTTTGTTAGTATAGGTAGTCCTAATCAATTCCTTTAAGTTATCCTCAACATTATACATAGTCTCTGGATCCCTCTCATTTTGGTGTAAGTTTGATTCATTCATGTACCCTTTGCCGCTGGAAGCCTGTCAGGACCCGCTCCTTGTCTGTGCCACACATTGCACTAGAGATCATTCCCCGCCCTCACCTGAAAGCCTGCAAGAGCCGCTCATTGTCCATGCTACAATGCACCGGCGATCACTCTCGGCCCTCGCCTAGAGCCTAGATGTCACATCCACAAGAGATTGACATATACTTATAACAATGCTTTCAAGAACATCCACTAAGGGTCCCTAACTCACTAGCCTTGTCTCTTTCTTTGAATTCCTAATTTTATCCACCTAGCTAGTTTACTAATTATGATTGAAAAGATGTTAGATTTTTGCAAACATTTGTTTACTTTGATTCAATCATTAAGGTTCCATTATGAATTCTAGATCCAAGACAAGCAAGTGGCTAGACTCATTAGCATGGTTATACTTACATGCCAATTCTCTCTAAGCGTTCTCGTTAACGCATACACCCCTTCAGGATCTCATAATCATAATGAGGGGCCTCAATCCACCTGCCTATGCATTTGTACATGCTTCCAACCAGCTTTGGGTAATCAATTCACATGTTCTAAACCAAACTTTAAAATTATGCAATCATCACATTCATATTCAAATGTCATAATGTGTGCAAGACTTATGCATATGCAAATAATTGCATATTCAAAATCAC